TGGATTTCCGGATCTTCCTTCCCGGTGAATCTGGGGGCGTCGATCTTGACCTTTCGCGGGAAAGGTGTCAGATGGACCCTTGTGGTGAACGGGGACCCTGCCAGGGGTTTGTCCCGGTCATTCTTCTCTCCGACCTTCTTTTCCAGCCTTTCCAGCTTTGCCTCCATCTGCTGGACGCGGTCGTTTGGGATGGTTAACCGGTTCGCCACCGGTAACCTGGGCTGGCTTTCTGCCTCCTCTTCCTGGTGGGAGGCCCTCGTCCTCGCTGGCTCCTGCCGGTTAGACCGGGAGCGTCGGGTGCGGGCAGGCTCGGCCTCCCGCACCTCTCCTAGCCGGGCGAATGCGCTGACATGGGCAACGCTCTGCCCCAGCCTTTGCTTGGTTGACTTCATCTGGCCTTCCTCCCTATCCCCCAGCCTTTCGAAGGCGGAGTTTCGGGAGGTCGCTGGCCGGATGTTTTTTCCTTTCTTCTTCTTGTGGGCCCTCGGGATGTCCCACTCGCCGACATCGCTCTCAATCGAGACGCAATGACCGTCAGGAGTGATCTGCGGATTCGTAGCTTGCGGGGGACACGATGGCCCTGCAGCGTTAAGTGCACCGGCCAAGTTGACAGGGGCCATGGTGCTGACCAGCTGGGGCTGGAAAGGTGATGGCTGCGGCATCGGCGTCTGGAACGACGTCACCGCCATCGGAGCTTGTAGGGGCATGGTTCCCGCGCCTGGAAGGGCGAATGGGAACATACCAGGGAGGAAAGGCATCCCCCCGTTCTGCTGGCACATGGCCATGACCTGGACAAAGCCCTGGATGGCTTGTAGGTTGGCTGGGTCATTCATGAATTGAGCCATGCTTGGTGGGAACGTAACCCTCGGTCTAGCGGAAGGGACGGGGGTCGCGAAGGGACTGATCACGCTGGCCGTCGGGACAGAGCTCAGACCCAGAGGCAACACCGGAGCTGGAATGACCGGTATGGTAGCAGCCACAGGGATGCTGGCTCCCTCGTTGGTGGCCTGCACCTGAGCGGAAGTAGCATTGATTTGTTGGCTGGAAGACATTTCGAGTGGTGTTTTGGTGGGTAGGTTTGTGTTTAGGAGAAGAAACCTTAACGGTCCCACGGGTGGCGCCAAAAATGATGGTGTAAATTACTGGACCGGTCAAACTATACTAGACCGGGTCTAGAATAGTTTGCTTGATTTGGCAAAGTAAGAAAGGTAAAAACACGCAGATTGACCGGTAGGACTTTAGGTGGAACACCTGTAGCCCAATTTATATTATAACGGAGAATGCACGGGTGCTTTTACAAGGGAGTTTAGGGAGAATGAATTCGGATCCCTCTTTCTGAGGTTTACATGAGTATTTATACTAGGCTAAGGGGACAGGACCACGTGCCCCCACGTGGGGGCATGCTGCTGATGTGGTGCGAGGTGACTGGTTTCGTCCTCGAGCTGCCTTGTCGCCTTGTGAGGGGGATCATTCCCTTTGTCGAGTAGTGCCTTGGATGGATTCTTCAGCATCTCCAATTGTCCTCTACTGACACGGGTCGCTACACGCCAAGCCCTCGCAGATCCTCTTCTGCCGACACTTTCCAACCCCAGAAACTACACCGGGTAATCTCCGAGGGATGAATTTATCGAAGTCTGGAATAAATAGGATGATAACGTAGTTTGACCGGTATACTTTTTTGTGAAGTATACCGGTCATATTTTGGCCGAAGATATGTCGTTTTGCTGACGACTTAAGGCTCCCTTCCAAAACTTTCGCGATTGACCGGTCAAAGATTTGGCCTCCTCCTTTGACCGGTCGTGGGTGAAATACACCCATCACCACCTATGTGTGGGTAGGATACCAAAAGCTAAACTTTTATCATGCAAATTTTGCATCAAAATTGTTTAATTTATTTTAAATTGAAAAAAAATTGTAGGGTACTTGTACATAAGTGTTGTCAGTCATTTTATAGTTTGTAGGTACTTAAAGGTAGAAATAAGATGATACTCCCTCCGTCCAACAATAAAGTTTTCGTTCACTATTCACAAGATCAAACTTTATTCATTTTATTGGCCTATTTTTGTGTCTTATTTGATAAAATAATATAGTCATGTCACCTCTAGTTTTGTAGATCTTTTCATGTAGTTTTTAAATATGTAATTTTTATTTTTTAATTCCATACCATGTTTCATATAAAATAATTTGAAAATAATTTCAGTCAAACATCGTAACGCGTAATGAGAACTTTATTTGTGGACGGAGGGAGTATTACATAATACCCATGATTGCCATGAATGCCCTCCCCCATCTAAGGGAGTAATACAAAGTAATGAATATTTTACTTGGGTTTTGGAATAAATTACTTAATTACATACTCACACCATCCCACAAACAAATTCTCTTTTTTTAAATAAGTTCTAAAATAATATTTTACTTTGTTTTTCAATAAAAGAAAGTGAATGTGGGTTTCGACCTTTCTTGCTCTTCCAAATAAATTATGTTTGCACCTTTTTTTTTTGTGTTTGATAGTTTTAATTTGAATGTTGTGAAATCAAAGTATAACCCTTTGATGTAGTTGGTAGGGTGTGTGAATGATGGAGCAATTTGAAAGACGGATTTGAAGCCACTTTTATGTGAGAACAAAAAAAGATGTGATACGTGGCACATTAAATTTTAAATACATGCGGGAGTAAAAAAATAAACTTTGAGATTGACCATATATTCTTTTTTGAAAGGAAAAAGAATTTAATTAATCCATCAATGGGAGGAGAAAATTTGGCTTGAATTCCATCTCAAAATTATTTTTAATTTTGTCTCAAACTTATTTTGACTTCAAGACCATATATTTTCAATTCCGTCGTAAAATTATTAAAAAGGTTTTTCTTCCATACCCTTAAAATTGTATGGGCATGGATGCCCTCCCACTCAAAATTTCGTGTTACTAACTTTCTAAAATTTCTAAAATTACAAATTCACCTATATCCCCCTCTGCCTTCCTTTTACGAAGTGCTTCTCTTGACTCCTAAATTTATTGAACAGTTCTTTCATCAATTACTGAGTGTCCCTGAATATTTGTTTATTTTTGACTTTTTTCAATCAAAATTGGTAAATTTTGATCTCAAATTAAATAAAAATAATATTAGATATTGATACAAAAATAGTGTTATTAAATTTATTATATAAAGGTTTTTAACATATTATTTTATGTAATTAATATAAAATATATATTTTATTTAATTATAAGTCAAAGGGTTGAAAATAGTTGATTAATAAAAGTCAAAACTGGACAAATACTCTGAAACAGATGTAGTATTACTTTTGTCCATAGATTTTCTCTTTTGGGTGCATTGGAATGCTTGATTAAAATTATTTTTAATAGATTTTATATGAAAAATGGTGTGGAATTAGAAAATAAAACTCATAACTAGGGGTGGACACGGTACGGTTCCGGTTCCGGAACCGCCGGTTCCGGTACCGCCACCCCATGTCACCGGAACCGTCACCGTGCCGGCCGGTACCGGTTCCGGTTCCCGGACCGGCGGTTCCAGTTCCCGGACCGGCGGTTCCGGTACCGGACCAGCCGGTTTCGCCCCCCCCCCCCCTAATTTTTTTTTTTTTGCTTTTTTTAAAATTTTTAAGTATAAAATTTTAAATTTGCAATTGTATAAGGAAAGAATGAAGTACCGGAATGTAGTTGTTATCTAAAAATGTAGTTGTTATTTAAATATTTTAAATGAATAATACACTAACTGAAGAACAACCACATTTAATATCCTAACGGTTCAAAAAAAGCGACGAGGTAAAGAACCGTAAAGAAACCCTCGAAGGAGCTTATATATCGCTCAGCTAAAAAAAACTAATTACATATTTACATTAACAAAAAAAATTATAACTTATTCTTCAGAACTCGGACTTCCATCTGTTGTTGCATTCATGTAATGCTCCGATTCGAGTTAGTACGTTGACTCTTGAGCTCGACGTCTTGCCAAGAGCCAATATTGGTTGCAAACAAGTGTTTCAAGAGATTCAGCGCTAAGACAACTTCGAAAGTCGGTTAGAATGTTGCCGCCAGCACTGAATTCTCGTTCAACTGCTACGATTGATACCGGAACGGATAACACTTGTCTTGCTAGCATGCCGAGACATGGGAACATGTGTTCGTTCCGGTTCCACCATCCGAGCACGTCAAAATCCACATCGTCTTCATCGTAATCGCATGGCACACCCTGGTACATAGCAAGTTCGTTGTGCGAGCTTACTGTTGTACCACTTGAACTCGTCGAAGAATGAGCACGCTTCCCTTTCTTTGCAAGAAGCCCACCGATTATTCCGGCAAAACTTTTTTTTGATTTCGGGGGCGGAGGTGGTGCTGTTTCTTCTTGTACAATGCCGTATAACCCTTGATATTCCTCAAACAAATTCTCAAAAAAAGTTACAGCATTATCTCTTTCTTTTTTCCATTCTACTAAATAAGAGTAGTAATAACTATTTTCATCTAAAAAACACTTGTAGTAATAATCAATTAAAATTTATAATTTTCAATTTTAAAGCGTGGATCACAAATAATACCTATTTTATAAATATCAGGAATGTACAAATAATAAGAACACCATTTTGTATCATAGGAGAGACATATGAGTACAAATCTGGATTAGCCTTACTTTCACGAAAACATGTTGCGATTGTAACGCATTCTTTTAAAAATGTATTTGTAGTTGGTTGGTAAACATGAGAAAAAGTAAGAGTTGCGTTATTAAAAACTTCTAATACAGCATTCAATTTTTCAACAAGTACAAATTCAAAAGGATCAATGATTATACGAAGTTCATCACTAAAAAATTCAGCAAGTTCCTCTTTATATTTTAGAATCTGATGAATCAATTTGTATGTACTATTCCATCTAATGTGGATATCTTTTGCAAAAACTATTTCTTTTATACCTTTAGACTTATAGAAAATCTTCCATTTTTTCGAAACAAGATGAGCCCCCCAAATTCTTTTAATTCCTTCTTTAATATTCGTCAAAACTCCACCCATAGCTTCTAGTCCCTGTTGAACACATAAATTTAAAACATGACAGGCACACCGTTGATGCAGAAATCTACCCATAGCCGTAGACGGTGGGCAAATTTCTCTAAGTCTAAGAATGGCTGCAGTATTATTAGTAGCATTATCAAAACCAAATGAAAACACTTTGTCAGATAAGTTGTATTCTCGCAGAATACTCTGAAGCAATAGGAAAATATTTTCAGCAGTATGTTGTTCATTGAAATCACGAAATGCAAGAACACGTTTATGCATAATCCAATCACTATCTATCCAATGACAAGTAACACCCATATAAGACAAATTATGATAAGTTTCACTCCAAATATCAGAACAAATAGCAACACGAGAATTAAAATTAAGAAAAAAATTTGCCAAATTTATTTTTCCATTTTTATACTGACGAATAATTTCTCGTTTAATTGTTTTTCTTGAAAAACCTCGTGCTTGAGGGTTTAATGCCTGTTGACAATAATCAATAAAACCAAGTTTCTCAGAAAACATGTATGGCAAATATTCTTCACAAATCATTTCGGCCATTGTTTGCTTATTTTGCTCGTCGCTATAAGCAAAAAGGCCGCACTTACCTCTGTTAGCAAACCGAGAAATTTGGGTTTGCACTTCTTGTCGTCCCTTCTTTTTTGCCTCGTATTTGACAAACTCCACGGGATGCCTCGACCTTAGGTGTTTTTCCGGACCGCCATAACCGCCGGAGACTCCCATTTTTAACACAACCTGATAAAAAAGACTATCTGTGGTAAGGAATCCAAAAAAGAACGACAGACATAATATTTGATAATAGAAGATTTAATATGGAAAAACCTTCTGCTATAAAGGAATATTGTTATACTATAAAAAAGGTAAAAAAAAATTAAAAACCAAAAAAAATTTGGACAAAAAAGAAAAAAACAAAAAAAAGGTTTGGCCGAAGAAATTTAAACAACAAAATTACAAAATCAAAAAAATCAAAAAATAAATTACTTTATTTATTTTAATCTTAAAGGATGGAATTTAATAATTAAAAATAGATAAATATAAAAATAATAATTGCATGATCTTTACAGCTAGTGCCAATGGAGTACTACATACTCCCTTTGTCCCCAATTTGATTATTAATTGTGAGTTACGATGCAAGAGTTCTCTCTTTTTGAAATTATTTTATTTATAAATTAGTGCATCAATAAGAAATAAAAATTACATATTAAAAAACTATGTCAAAATTCTACAAAATGAGTGGTGACAAAAATATTTTATTTTATCAAAATACTCAATGAAAATATATAAATAAACAAAAATTGTCAAGAGATGAGAGAAAAAAGATTGTAATCTAATTGAGGACGGACGAAGTATGTTAATTGAGTAAAAGAATTAGTGCTGAATTATCACAAATTAAATTTGTATTAGTGGAGTGGAGAAATTCCAAAAAAATTAGGTGTAAAAAAATTGGAACACTTTGTACTTTGTATTAATGGAAGGGAGAGAATATATAGGCCAATTCATAATTGGGTTAAGGTGCAAAATAGGAGTTGCTAACTCACTCAATCTACAAAAAGGGGCAACAATCCATATACGTCCATTTTTTTTGTCGATCATGTTGCCTTTTTTTGTTGCCTAGCACGTGAGCACTAAGCTTAATCCCTCTCCCTGAACCATTCAAATTTACTTCTTTTTCCATTTTTTTTAATTATCAACCACTAAAGTCCATACCACTGCCCCAGCTGTAGACAAATGCATTTGACACCAACTCTTTGATATTGGTCCCTAGAGTCGAGTAGTGAGTGATGCTTTTGGAACTGCGACCAGTGATGAACGCTGGCACTCATTGGTGGCGGAAGCCTTAGTAGCTGGTGCATAGGAGGAACTCACCGCCATTCGAAAGCAGATCCCGACCCAAAGTCGTGCTGCCTTTGCTCTTCTTCTCCCTGGAGCCGCAACCAGCATCACCTAGTACTCGTCGTGCAAGAAGCCAGCCACTGTCGCCAAATAGTCAACGCTCAAGAAGGGTATCGCCGCCACTTTCACCACCGCCCCTCCTCCCTCTGTCGCCGCCGCCGCCACTAATGCACCTACATTGCAATAATGAAGCGCACATTCCAAATGAGCCCGACAAATTTAACCTCACATTCAAAACATAAAAATTTCAGGTTTGCAGTACAATGAATACTACTCCCTCTGTTCCACAAAACTCTTCCTCTTTCGTTTTTTTTTGCTTTCTACAAAACACTTCCACTTTCTATTAAAAAACCACTTTTACCCATACTTTTTCATACCCTACCCATCACATCATACTTTTTACTAATAATCAAACTATCACATCTCACTTTTTCCAATTACATCAGGGGCAAAATTGAAAAGTCAATCAAAATTACACTTTCCTTATTTTTCTCCAAAGTCAAAACCATAAGGGTTTTGTGGAACGGAAGGAGTAAAAAGGAGTAGGAGTTTGTAAGATATTTGGTTCAAAACTCAAGAAAATGAAGACCCATCACATAAAAGTAATACCCTTATTTTTAGATTGCAAAAAGTCATTTTTTAATTCTCTTAACCACGATTAACATCTCTAATCTCTAGATCATAAATCAAAAGAAAATCTCCCATCGTCGTCACCATGGTGCCGCATTAAAACTGTCCATATAGTATGAAGGACATAATGTCAAACATGACTATATATACCGCCACACATGAAATTACATGTGTGAATGCATAATATCAAACAAAGGCATAATGCCAAACATGTCAATGCCTAATGCAGGCCCGCCCAATCATTTTAATAGTTCCTGGCAAAAGTAATATTTCTTCCCTTTCAGAATATTTCTCCAATATTTTTTTTACATAACAAAGATTGACATTTGACATATAATTAATAAAAATGAGATAAAATAATGTTTCAATAATATTTTATAAGATAAATCTAATAAATCATTTCTTGTATCAATATCTAATATAGAGTGTAAATTTTAGTTTATATTAAATTAATGGTAAAAATTTAGCATAAAGAAAAAATTAGATAAATATTGGTATTAATATTTTTATTTCATTAATTACGAATTATTACTCCATATAATATAAAAAATCATTATAATTTTAAATTTTGTTCATAGAATATGAGGTACAAATACAAATATATTCTTGTTACAAAAAAAAATCAATTTTTTAGAACTAATTAAAGATTCAAAAATAACAAAACAAATTAGTTTTTTTAAATAAACCTAAAATAAGAAACTAATGAATGAAGCAAAATCAATTTTTAGAGTAGAAGAAAAATAAATCTGAAACAAAAATTAGAAATTTTAGTAAATTTTGAAACAAAATGTCCACCGAAAAAAATTAGAAAGAAAAAAACACATGCTTAAAGTTGGAAAAATATGAAACAAACTACATGAAACAAGAAAATACTAAATTTACAAAGATTGCAGACTTAAACACAGTCTTGAAAAGTTGGGCTTGGATTGATACGTAGCCGAGTAGATATTAGTGGTCGGATTAACTGATACTCCGTATTTAAAAAAAAAAGCACTGTACAAAAAATGATACAAATGGCTGAAATGGGCCCCTTAAATTTTGGGGGGCCCTGTGCAAATGAACTTGTAGAACATGGGTATGGGCGGGCCTGGCCCAATGCAATATATGATAATGTATAATGACAACCATGTCAACCTATAATGACAAATATGTCAACATATAATGTAACAAATGACAATACATAATGTTAAAAAGGAGAAATGCGAAGGAACTCTATAATTTTCCAATGTCATAATCATTCAAGAGTGCCAATTAAATTTTTATTCCAAGTACCCCAATCACACTTGTAAAGAAAAACTAAGAAAGAACAATAATCTCAAAAGTCTGTTTGGACTTTTTGATTTGCTAAAATATACACACAGAGTACACACAACAAATTCACACAGAAATATGCAAGGAAAACATAAAAAAAGTTTAGAAAATCATGGAAACCCAAAGAAATTTTATCGTAGATTAAGAATGCACGCAACACACACACAAAATCCAATGAAAATCTGTAGCACCAACAAATATAAACATAGATCTAATCAAGAGTCATTGAAGGAATTTGTTGAATAAATTAAACCAAAAATATGCAAATGAATTGAAAAAACAGGGCAGCGAGCTAAGGGGGAAGAGGCAATGGCGGAAGGGGCGGTGGCAATGGCGGAAGGGGCTCGACGGTGATTGCGGCAGCGACGGTGGAATGGTGAAAAGGAGGAGAGAGAAAAGAGGTGGACGGCTGTGTTGTTTAACGTAGTGGAGCAGACACTATATAAAATTACCCAGTAAATTGGATTATAACAATTACTCCTATTTCGGGTATATAAGTTTGGGACTCCTACTTTGGATATATGTTTCATGATTTACTCCTATTTAGGAGGTTTTATTTTCATAATTTTAGAAAATTAGAGTGACGATTGAACTACTGAAAACATAATTGATATTAGTCCTCATGTCAAATTTTGAGTGGAGGGGCATGCATACCCATTGATTATCAAGGGTACCGGAGAAAAACCCTTATTAAAATTAGGGGTAAGGTTGAAACGGAATTTTTAGTTGTCTCCGTCCTAATTCCGTATTTTAGAAACGTGATAGAGCAGTTCGAGACACGATGTTGTCCTACTTTATCCTATTTATTTTAGGGTTTGGTATAGTTTGGGATGTCCTAATTAAAACTTTTATACACTATAAACTTATAAAACTTTAATTTCCTATCTCGCCAAAATAATTCAAAAAATTTTATACAAACATCTTTAATAAACTCTTTGGTAGTCCATAACAAAAATCTAGACAAATATTTAAAAAGTATCTAGTATTCCCTCCGTCCCAAATTATAATGTCTGTTCATTATTCACA